GGGACTTCCTTACCTTGCTTGTGGCCCTAGTTTAGCAACTATATTGCCGGGGACATGGACTGTGGGGACGGTCTGTCCGCAGTGCCCTGTGAGGGCTGCGGCCTCTCTTCAGGGACATCTCCCACGTCTCCCCTTTGTGCGGCCTGTACTTCTGGGCCCCTTTCCCAGTCTCCCTTGGTGCCTGTGGGGTCTTCGATCTGTTCCCTGTGTCCTTCAATGAACGGGAGAGAAAATAGGATTTTGGTACTCACCGTAAAATCCTTTTCTCTCCGTTCATTGAAGGACACAGGGCCCGCCCCTCTAATGGGTGTGTACTCCTTTACTGCTTGTTACTAAACTGGAGACTTGTCAGCAGGTGGGGGGTTTTGGCCACCGGCAGGGGCCGCCCCTAGGCTGTAATTGGTCTTTAGTTTTGTGCCTAGCGTCCTTCTCCTGCAGGTGGCGATATTACCCTACAGTACAGGATCTCCGATCTGTTCCCTGTGTCCTTCAATGAACGGAGAGAAAAGGATTTTACGGTGAGTACCAAAATCCTATTATTACTAGATCAGCAAGGATTAATGTATTTATTTTGGGGGGTTTTGGAGCAGAAAAACTAATTTGTATTGGGAATGTGGATAGATCAAGGTGTACAATATTTCTTCCAGTATCTAAAGCTTAGGTTTGGATCAAATGGGGAAGTGTTAGAACTTCTGACAAGTTCTTATACCCATCAAGTAGACGAGAAACGATGGGAGGAAATCATCCAGCTGGGGACACAGAAAAACAATAAAAAGTTTAGAGCATCTAAAACTTTTCCATACTATCCAAATGTTTTTGCAGGAGTTGAGCATTATATTCTATGGATGCACCGATGCCAGTTTTTCGGTATTGAGTAAGTTCCGATATCAGGCTTCCTGATTGGCTAGGAAGCCGGCTTCACTTGTTATGAGGCAGCGTTGCTTCCTGTCTAATCAGGAAGCCGGGAGTTGAGTCAAGACATGCCACCCGGGCTTCCTGATTGGTTAGGAAGCTAGGCTGCCTACCAACAAGTGAAGCTGGCTTCCTAGCCAATCAGGAGGCCTGGTGGCACGTCATGACCCGCCTCCCAGCTTCCTGTTTGGCTAGGAAGCCGTCTTTACTTTGGTCAGGAAACCAGGCTGCCTAGGAAACAAGTGAAACCGGCTTGCTAGCCAATCAAGAAGCTGGTAGGCGGGTCATAACCCACCACCCGGCTTCCTGATTGAAAAGAAAGCCGGCTTCATGCTCCCTCAGCATTGCAGGTCAGAGGGAGATAACTCTCTGACTGGAAGTTCTGGTATCAGAGGTACGTATGGGAGCATTTGGGTGAGTACAAGTACTCGCCCAAATACTCGGTATTGTCACCGATACTAGTATCTGTGCATATTTTCAGTAGTAACTATTGGTGATTCCAGGAGTTATTAAGCTGAATGTGTAACAACACTGTAATTGCTATCACCACACATGGTTTTTGCATATGCAAAACCAAGGCTAGAGTGTTTCTGCAGAACAAAGCAAAATGGTGGGTGGGTGAGCAAGATAACATTCTCTTTCATTTTAACAATATCTCTTCTTGTATTGCAGGATTATGCTATCTCACGGTTTGATGCCTATTTTCAACAAAAAAAGCTTTGGTCCTAAATTTAAAATTAACCTCCATTTTTCCCTCTTCGCTACTGCAACTGAAGCCTTGCAAGAATCTGCTAGCTTGCTGTATAATATCCGTCCAGTTACATTGATATCTGTTTACCTGATCTCAGCTCTGCATGGAGATTATGGGGTGACCATTTCAAACGAGTCTATTGAGTCTCTTTCCGCTTTTT